AACCTGTGGTGGGGGCCATGGGGATGAAGATAGCCAGCTCAGAGGCACTTTGGAGCAAAGCTTAGCTGTCACCAGGATGGAATTCAACCACAGATCTATTAGAAAATTGTCTCCACAAAGGTAAGACTTGATCTCGTTTACTGAGACAGCCACAGGCACCTAGTAGAAGCTCATTAAATATGTAGTAGTAGATTGAGTGAAAGTGGAGATGTGCAGGAATCAAAATGACATCAGTGTTTAAAAAGCTCTCCAGAGCTAGCTTGGTGGCCCATTGCTCACACATTGCTCAGTGATGCTGGATCCCTATGGATGATCATGGGTTTGGTTTCCCCAGTTGACATACACAGACTCATAATCCTAGCTGGCTGGGGAGGCTGGCAGAGATCAGGCATGAGACCCTGTTGAAGGCAGTTATCTTTCTCACTCTCATGAAAGAAAGATAGGAGCTTGAAAAGATAGATGATAGACAGATAAATACATAGATACATAGGTAAACTAAATAGTTCTCCAAAAATTTGAGAACAGAGGTCTTGCTAGCCAGAGAGAAGAAAATGCCAGCTAATGCCTAGAGTATTTATCTGAGTTAAAGGTGGCGCCCGGCATGACTACACACCATAAAAGCTGTAGCTGGAACTGAGGTGACAGCTAGTCCACCTTGTGACTAACAGGGCTTGTGCATTGTAACCTCACTGTCCCAGCCATGGTTGTCTCCTAGGACATGGATTATCATCTCCACTTGACAAATGAAGAAGCAGCTATTTGTCCAAGACACACAGTGAAAGAATTATGAGACAGTTCCCTCTGTCCCTGGGCTCTTATTCCAGTGCTCCTCAGACTATAGTGGGGATCTATTTGTAAGGAAACTAGTATTTCCCCCAGAAATGGGGATAGATACTTTGCAGATGTTATTTTATTTAATTTATGGATTCAAATAAAACCCTATATTATAACAGGTAAACTGAGGCTCAGAGAGCAACTGCCTTGGGTTGGAATACTACTTAGAAGCTAGGAGCTCTGGAGATTGCGGTAATATCCGTGTCATAGAATTGGCTCAAGGGCTGAATTAGGGCATAGGAAAGTGATTCACATACACCTCGGCATGCATGTTTTAATAGTAAGGGCTGCAGCAACACCAGATCCAAGATGGCGGCCAACAGGAGGCTGATGAAGGAGCTTGAAGATATCCACAAATGTGGAATGAAAAACTTCCAAAACATTCAGGTTGATGAAACTAATTTATTGTTCCAGAAAACCCTCCATATGACAAAGGGGGTCTTCAGAATCGAAATGAGCTTTCCAGCAGAGTACCCATTCAAACCACCAGAGATTTAAAACAAAGTTTAAAACAAAGATCTATCATCTGAACATCAATGAAAAGAAGCAGGTCTGTCTGCCAGTAATTAGTGCAGAAAACTGGAAGCCAGCAACCAAAACTAACCAAGTAATCCAGTCCCTCGTAGCTCTGGTGAACAACCCCCAGCCTGAGAACCCCTTCTTGACTGACCTAGCTAAAGAATGCTCTAAGGACTGTAAAAAATTCTGTAAGAATTACACTGAAGATTTTACAAAGTAATAGGGGGAAAAGCAATCTGTGGACTAAGATCTATCAAGATTGACTCCAGCAAGTATGAGCAGAGACCCTGAGCAGTGCATTCACGCCCCACAAAGCAGGGCTCTGTAGAAAATTGACACATGCCACTACCTGACATTCACTTGTGGCAGTTACTAATTTTCTACAGTTTTTAAATTAAAAGTGGTCTAGGTAACCTGTTAAGAAAAGATGCAAAATTTAAGATGCTTGAAAAGAAAAGAGAAAAGAAATAGTAAGGACTCCATAAATATTGGCAGTGACAAGGGGTTGTCCAAAGTCCGTAAGTAGTGGAGTTGGAATTCAGGCCCAGGTCTGACTTCATACCCCTTCACTACAGCCAGCAGCCTCCCTGAAGAGCTAGGTTAGTTTTCCAGGCTATCCCAAGGCCCGCAACTGAGTGCTCCCATCAAGGTTGGGAGAGGGGTGACCTTTAGAGAGGCCCTGCTGGTTCATCATGTCCGTTTCCTTACAGATACAATGAGGTGAAGAAGAAAATGGATCCTGGGTTCCCCAAGCTCATTGCAGACGCCTGGAACGCCATCCCTGATAACCTGGACGCTGTTGTGGACCTGCAGGGCAGTGGTGAGCTGCCCAGACTGCTCTTCGCTTTCTAGGACTTCCCCCCCTCCAATTCAGGCCTGGCCCCTCATAAGTACACACTCCCTCATTGTGTAGGGCAAGCAGCCTGCCACTCCCCCTCCCTGTACCCAGGAAAACAAACCAGCCCCTTCAGCCCAGTGCTGGGAAGGCATCCAGACCCCCTGACCCCAGCTCCCTTGGCCAGGCTCCAGGCAATGAGATCCAGAAAGGCCCCTCACAGCTGCAGGGCCTGGAGCCAGTGCAGCAGAGGTGGGAGGCCTGTTGGAGGGTAGAGGAAGTGCTGAGGAACATGGGCCCTATGCCCTGGCTTCATTCTGAGGTTTGATCCAGGCCCTTTGGGGTTTTGTAGGAGACCTTGTGACAGCCTCTCATTAGCAGAAGGATGGCTCCAGTTGGGACAAGGCAAACTTTGTCATGCTTTGTCACTCATGTGGCAAAGATTCTTCCACTTTGTTCCAGTCTCTTGCTTAATCAAAACAACCAATATCTATTGAGGGATAGATTTTGGAGTTTAAAAACAAAGTTCCTGAGGAAGTTTCTACGAGCTTTCTAGGGTCCTGAAAATGAGTCCAGCACTTTTAGAGATTTGGCTTTTGGCTTTTTAGAGATTTTTGGCTTTTTAGAGATTTTAGTTAAAGTCCACAAAGAGTCTTTTCCCTACCAGAAGTTAAGCACATAGCTCTGATCCTCAGTGGCTAGATTTTATATGTTCAGAAGGAAGCAGAGTAAATTAGAGTAGAGGCCTAATACCATTTGATATTCTAGTTTTTTTCTTTTCTTTCTTTCTTTTTTCTTTTTCATTCTTTCTTTCTTTCTTTCTTTCTTTTTTTTTTAAAGAGAGAGACTGTTATAGGGCACGTGCATGTGCCGGAGAGACAAAGAGATATAGAAAGTGAGAGCTTGTCCTCCAATCTCACCCCCCCACCCTCCACCTCCCGGCAAGGATGGCCACACCGCAATCTCGTCTCCTCCGTTCTCCTCTTGGGATTTTGGGCATGTGCGCACACACGCCAGGCATTAGTTTGCAGTCTCCAGTCCAGGACTCAAACCATAGTTGGGCGTGGGGGAGTCCAGCGAAGTAATCATCATGCCATCTGCTCTTCCTAATGTTCTAGTTGTTTTTAAAAGATGCCAGGAATCTGTATTTTCATGTGACTTTTCTAAATATTTATACATTGGCAACATTTTTCAAATTTTTATTCATAATAGATTTCACATATGCATGTGCATATGACAATGATAGAAAGAAATGAGCACCCTCCACAGGGTCTGGTCACACCATGATCCCCTCCCTCCAATCCTCTAGCCTATCTGGTACTGGGCACTCATGTGCATATCCAGCGTGTTTCAGGCTGACCTCTTGGAGATTTGAACTGCAGTTTCCATATGAGATCTTGCTTTGCTTTGGCAGCACATTACTGCTATGCCATGGAGCTGGCCCTATTTAGTAATTAAAAATAAAACAAAACACTGTGTGAGCCAAATAAAACTCATCTAGCACCTGATAGGGCTAGACACCTGTTTTGCTAACTTTGATATAACGGAAAGCACTTCGAGTGGTGCTTGTGCTAAATCGGGCAATCTTACTATTGAAAGTATTACATTATTATAGCATATATGAAGCATCTTCCAAAAATTCACAGAAAATGCGTGTTATGAAAAAACTATGCATGGATTTTAGAATTATTTGCACCAAAATAAACTCGTACTTTAATTCCATTTTCCCACAAATTTTTTGAAGTCCCTTCATACCAACCTCTTTGGTCTTATAGTGAAGATTAAATGAATAATATGAGACTTTAAAAAGTTTGTAGGTTCAGATTAAATTTTGAGATTATTTGGGCCAGCAGGTGGCATGAAGGTTAAGGTGGCTGGATTCCACATGATCAGTGGTACTGTTCAAATCTTGGGCCAGGCAGCTTAAAAATCACACCTGGTATATATGTATGAGTGCCCAAAATCTAAAGAAGAAAGTGGAGGAGAAGGGACTTGTGGCATGGCCATCCCTCTGGTGAGTGACTTGTTACCTTCCCTCTCCTCCTCTCTTTCTCTTTCTCTCTCTGGTGAGCTTATGTGCCCTACAGCAGGACTGAAAAGAAAGTATGGGTTTATTTTGGCAAAGACATTTTTGAAATCCATGCATAATTTTTTTTTTTTTGAGAGGTTTTTGCTATAGGGCACGTGTGCTTGCCAGAAAGAGAGATAGAAAGCGAGAAATCACCTCAGGGGGGATGGCCATACTGCAATCCCTTCTCCTCCATTCTCCTCTTAGGATCTTGGGAATCCACACACACACACACTCGGTGTGAGTTTAAGCTACCACGTCCAGGACTTGAACCATGATCAACTACATGGTAGTCCAGCGACAGCCATTACACCAATTGCTGGTCCCCAATAATTTTTTGTAATAGGCATTTTCTGTGAACTTTTGGAAGACCTCCCTCTACTCCTCACCCCATGTCTTTATCCCCATCTCAGAGATGAACTAACAGGGAATAAGAGACCTTGCTTCTGCAGATATTTTCCTTCCTTTATCCCTGAGGGATTTTTCTCTGATTAAAAAGCTTCTTCCCTGTGTCAGGCAGACGTTCAAAGCTCCTAGGAACCTTCTGTGTTCCCAAGACAGGATGGTCACAGCCTTTCTTCTTTCTCTGTCCCAGGTCACAGCTACTTCTTCAAGGGAGCATACTACCTGAAGCTGGAGAACCAAAGTCTGAAGAGTGTGAAATTTGGAAGCATCAAGTCAGACTGGCTGGGCTGCTGAGCTAGTCTGCCTCGCATAGGCCCTTCCTCTCCATAGCCTTCCACACACTGGGCCCTACACACCAGAGGAGGACCTGGAGGGACCTGCAGCCCTGCCTTCAGCTCTGTAGTTAATGAGCATTCTCAACCCCAATGGGTAATTTAAGATTCCAGAGAGTGGCTCTACCCTGTGCCCAAGGAAAGGTGCTGACTGTACCCCTCCCAGGTGCCCCTTCCCTCTCCAATTCTTCCAACCTTCAGAGCCACCCCCAAAGAGATGCTTTGATATATTCTCAATGTAGCCCTGCCTTGGGCTGTCCTGGTGCTGCCACTTCAGGCTCTTCTATCTCCACAACCTTCTGTGGCTCCACAGCACCTAGGGAGCCAACAGAGACTGTCTCAAGAGGACAATGGTGGCCTGACAGCCTGGCTTGTGGCAATGGGGTAGGGACCTGGTCAGGTGGCCATATCAGACACCTGGCTTCTCACTGCTGGCTGCCTTGGAACCCTCCCCACATTAGCAGTTTGCTTTGTATGCACTTTGTTCTTTTCTTTTGAACTTTTTATTTTTCCACTTTGAAATCACATTTTCTGACAGAAGGACTCAGGTTGTCTGAAGTCACTGCGTGATGTATCTCAGCCTGCATAAAGAAGGTTCCCAGATTCACTGTATTTAGTACATCCCCACCCTGTCACTTCTCCACTGGATGGAGGAAAATGAAGCCATGGCTCCCTGCCCAGCCCTTCCCACCTGTTTCTTCAGCAGTTCCCCATGGGAAATGTCAACAAGTATGAATAAAGACACCAATTGAGTGGCAGTGTTTACAGCTGTTATAGCATAGCCCTGAGTGCGACCACACCTCCAGCCAGAAGAAGAAACTTACATCTCTGCTCTCTGCATAGCACAGGTGATGTCTTGTGGGAAGATCAGCATTTTCACTCCCAACCCCACTGGGTAATGTATGATTATCTGGTGCCAAAACAAACAGCAAGAGACCCTCTGGTGGGGAAGCTCAAATCCGTCTGTCATGTAGGAAGAGCCTTGAAACAGAAGCAATCCTGCTATTTTAGTTGTAGAGTCTGCTCAAGGTTCACTTTCTCTCTGAGTCTCAGTTCTTAATAATAATACTAATTCTGCTACTGATAACAGTGAACAACAATCATGTCCCCCTTGGTTAATAGAGTGTTTTCTATGTGCCAGGCACTTTATGAGGGGACTTCAAAAACCTCGTGAAAAAATAGAATTACAGATCAAGTTTATTTTACTGCAAGAAAAAAAAAAAATCCATGCATAGATTTTTCATAATGTGCATGTCCCATGAACTTTTGGGAGACCCCTTATAAATGCATGGTTTAATTTCACCTCCACAACCACCTAAAAGGAGAGGCTATTGGTTAAATCCTGTTGATGAGGACATTGAGGCCTAGAGAAAAGTGATTTACCCAGGGTCCCATAGCTATTTGGTAACAAAGCCTGTGTCAAGGTCAAAGGATAACCTAGAAGACAAGCTTTAGCCCTCACTCCTGAATCTCCATCAGTAACATTACCCTCCACCAACCCCCAAAACACCCTAAGCCATCACACCTAGGGGCGAAATGATGTGCTTGCTTTCTAAACACAGCTACTATTAATGGGTAAGCTCCTTATGCCTTCTTCCTTCCAGACTACCCAGCCCTAATCCCTGCCTACACAGAAATACTGGAGCTGCTGCTGAACAGAAACTTAAGGCCTGGGGCTTTTCAGAGGCCCCATTTGGGCTCCGACAGTCTGATAGTACATTGCTTAAGACCTCTGATGGTGGGGCTGGTAGGGAAGGGCTGGAGATTATCACAAAGATCTTGAAGTCTTCTCCTGTGGCCTGCCCATTTGCTCAGGTTATTCATAGCCCTAGAAAGACAGGCTTCCATACAGTTATCTGCATAGAGCCACAAGGGTCTGCATGTTTTTACTTGACCCCTTAGTTTGAAGAGGCCAGTATCATGGCTGTAATACACTGTTATTAAGGTTCTCTGATACACTGGAAGATTCAGCTGCTCTCTACCACTGTAGTACCTAAAAGGTGCTGTTTTCTGAGTGCTTTTCTATGAATACTGTGCATGAATCATTTCATCTGTACTGCAACCCTATTGGCATCATTGCTTTGAAGAAGTTAATCTTCCATTTCTAGATGAGAAAAGCTCAGATAGGTTAGATGACTAACCCAAAGTCACACATCCATCTGATAGGGTTGGAAAATTCTGAGACTACAGTGGATAGCTCAACCAGCTATCTCAGAGCCCAGACTCAGATTCTCATCCTGGTCTGTCTGCCCACTAGGAGCAGAGCTGATCAGTAAGCATCAGTTGTTTATCATCTTCATCTTTCGGTTAACTAGTTCCCGGGTCTGGAACAACCTCTGTCACTAGTCCCCCACTATCACTCATATAGGTCTTTGAACTTCCTCAGGGTGAAATGGAGACAAAAACCAAGCCATTTCCCTTTTCTGGGTCAGGTTCCTTATCTAATGTGGAAAGCAATTGTTTTTGTCTTTTCTAGTAATAGCAGTTCAGCTTTCCTCTGGAGAACCATCTCCCCACTATCAGTCCATATAATTTGAGTGGGCCAAGTTGCACTCCTCGTACCACTTTTTATATGAAGACAGCTTCATCTGACAAACTCCTAACTCAACTGGTTAATGCCACCTCCCAGCAGACCAATAAAACAGACTGAAACGCAAGTCTGCCGGACTAACGTAGAAAATCCTGTCCTCCGTGCCTCTCGGAGTGTTAGGGACGCTAGCGTACCCTTCAGGGTCCGCCCATCCTTGTCCACCGGACTCGGGTACAGCAGCGAGATCGTAAAGGGTGGGGCCGGCGCCCAGGGGGTGGGGCCAGAGCCAGAGGGGCGGGGCGGCCGCGCCAGCGTCTAGGTAACCTCGGCGCCTGCGCGAAAGCGGGCGCAGCTCGGCTGGGACTCCGGTGGGGCTCCCAGGAGTCTAGGTGCCTGCGTGCTGCAGGTCCATCTCTTCTGTCCGGTCCCACGCCAGGTCTGATCATGAACCGGTGCGCCGAGGCGGCGGCGGGGGCGGGGACCGGGGCCCGGGGC